CCAAGACACCAGACCGTTGACGAGAAAAGTCGTATGGAAGTCTTTTTCCATGGCCTCTCTGAACTCCTCCCACGCCCAAGTTTTTGCCTCAGCGACCACCCAAGCCACAATCCACTTGGACTGCTGATAACCATCAGCTGCTTCTGGAGTCCCACAGGCCAAAAAGACACAATAGGAACCCTTCTTCAGCCTGACAGCATCCCTCACCGCCAGTGTCCTACCAGCGGGTTTGAGGGTTGACAGGCACTGACAACCTTGTGGCCACAGCTCAGGTAAGCTGCCTCGACGATGGAGGTACGGAACATGGCCCACTCTGACTCAATGTCCCCCACCTCCCCTGAAACATGTTCAAAGTTCTCCTGGAGGTGTGAGTTGAAGCTCAGTCTGACGGGACACTCTGTCAGATGTTCCCAGTAGACCCTCGTTTGGGTCTGCCAGGTCTGACCGGCATCACCACCGTCAGAGCCAACTCACCACCAGGTACTGGTCAGTCTACAGCTCTGCCCCTCTCTTGTGCTAACAAGAAGAAAACTATATTTATGTGGCTCTTTGTCTGAACACAGCTTCTGTAAAAAACACTTTTACCTTTTTTATTGAGTGGACGTGCCCGGACGCACACACATATTCTGTGCTCCTCAATCTGAAATATGAAAAATACAGTTAAATATGAATACACATATTGATTGAATACAGTAATTTTTAAGTTTGGAATGTCAGAAAGTAAGAAACAGACAGAATAAAATAACAATTTTTTATCCTCATCCATTTCTACTTAATCATTTCATTCATTGTCTAATTTATTCTTCTTCTCTGGCTTCTTATTGTCTATCATTACATTACTTTATTCTATTTTTACATACATTTTTTGCAATCTAAACTTTTCTGCAAACTTTGATATTTTTGCCACTTGCCAGTCTTGCCATTAAACCAATTCTGCAACTTTTAGCCTCCATTCTCTTAGTTATAGCCTTCATCTGGCCTTTTGCGACTTTTATATAACCTTTTCACTAAAGTTTTACTACTTTTCATTGTTCGTCAGCCTTTTGCTTACATTTACCTTCTATGGATTGTTTTACTACTTTAGGCTTTTAGCAAGTTGAGCTTTAGTACTTACTTTTGAAAATACTTAAGTATTCAAAAGTAAATGCATTTAAAATTACTCAAGTATTCAAAAGTAGAAATTACATTTTCTATTATTGGTACTTTGCTGTATTTTCACTATATATGTATATGTA